TGAATATTATTAATATCATCCAGCGTAAATTGAAACTTTCTCCCAATAATTTGCCCAGAAAGCCATGTTTCAATGTCAAAGTTACATTCATCCCATTCGGATACCGTTTTGGACAGCTCAAAGGACGAACTGCTTTGCATTTTCAAGGTGGCCTCAATAGTATTCAACGAAAGATCTACATGCTCGAAGGATATCTTTACAACAAACTTGGGCTTTGCAGCATAGCTGTCAACGCCAATGGGCATATTTATGGCCTCTTGAACCCCCAAATAGTATACGTCGGAGAATAGGGACGTATATTTAGAACTGTTCGAAGGAAAGTAAACTGGATCCAAATCATAGGAAACACATTGTTCCTTAAATCCAAAAAGGTTGAGTGGATCGGAAAGATGTTCTTTTTGAGATATAAACTCCTGCAGATCTTTGCAGAATGAGATGGTCTTAAAATATGATTTGGCAAGTCGGCTATCAACCGCTCTTTTATCTACAAATACATGCTTTTCTGTCTCCGATGTATCCTCTGAATGTTCTTCGAAAGGGTATGGGAAATTTGATTTGATTTTTAGCTTTTTGGCCTCAATAGATGCGTTAATATGTGTGGATTTCATCGGATAATCAACAAAGCAATGTCAAGCCTATTTTAGTGACATTCAACAGGTTGAATTCCATTTGACCAATTAGTGGGACCAATGGAAAAGATCAAAATTTACTGATTTATAAATAATTAAATTTAGCTTTGGAAGCACAGTAGCTTTCGCCTCTCTGCTCTATTTGGTAATCCGCTTTTTGCTAGTGCTGGAGGGTGCCTTTTCTTTGTTTTCTCGGATTTTTTTAAAGGAAGCGATGGTATTTCATCAACAGATTTCTTTGCTCGTTTTACAGGGCTATTACCTTGACTGCCCCTCTTTTGTTGGAGCTTGATGTCTACCCTCTTTGGCTGGGACTTGATGTCTTTAAATTTTTTATCAGAATCACTTTTACATTTAGAAACCCTTAATGACCGGCCATCCAACACAAATATCGGGTTCTTCGCAGAAGATACCAAGCCAAGAACAAACTTTGCCGAATTACAATCCTACCATTTGAGAAAAATGACATGCCTTAAATTCAATGTACCCTACGCCCTTGCAATCTTGCGATTTGGAATCTCTTATTAGTCGAATTCTGGTAATAGATGTACACGAATTTGCTTCAAAAACTGCACGCAATGCATCTTCGCTCGCAGTCCTGGGAATATTTCCAATAAAAAGCGTTTTAGATTCATCAAATTTCTACTATGAGAGTGTTAAAATTTACCGATCCGCTAAGCCCGTGCTCTGAGGCATGATCTGCCCTTAAATGCATCTCTTGGAATACCTTACCGTTTATCATTGTAACAGCGTCATCAAGCAATACCCCACAATTCTCCAAGAAGCGCACATATGCAATAACGGACTGATGCGAAGGATTGAGCAACTTTTTTGAAATTGCAACCTTTTTTGGAAGTGGTGCTTTGCCATCTTTCATAGAAGAAGACAATACAGGTAGGCATCTGAATCTGATAGACTCGATAGCATTGGTGGTGCTTCCTATCCATACTGCCAATTGCTTAATAAATCTTTGTTTCATAGACTCATGAAGAGCGCAAGCCAATGGTACATTTGCAATAAAGATTGTATTTACAGTAAATCGGTCCGAATTATTCCCAGAATCACCAGTAAAGCCAGAAGGAGTGTCGGAACTGGGGCCAATCACAGCACTATTATCCTGGGGTTTGATTGCCTGTAGATATTCTTGAATTTTAGAATCAGACATCGAACAAGTAAGGTTGGGCTTTTCCCCATCACCAGTTTCAAATAACTTGCACAGTTCAGAATCAACCATAGACTCCGTGAGAGGGGTGGACTTTGGGGTTTTCATTAATTAATTTCACCAAAAAATAATTTCCAATTTAACTTTCAATAAACTTTAAGGGTCATGAATGTCAACAATAGCTACAAGTCTATCTCTCAATCCTCCATCCTTAATTTGAAGGCAGAGCTTTTTAAAAAAAAGGCGTCCATTCAGCAAGTTTCCAATGCCAATTTAAATCAGGATCTCTATTTTTCAGTGAAGCCCAAAGTTTCGCCATCTCCTGTTGAAGAAGCTCAAATACCACCGCCAAAAAAAAGCGGCCCCCCACTGGAAAAGCCTCTCAATGAAAAGATCAAGTTGTCTCTCAATATGAAGGCGGAAAAATACCGCAAGCTTTTGTTAAAATCGACATATGAAGATTACGAGCCACTAGAGGAAGATTCTCTTGTCGATTTTTCAAGAATGCCAGTTGAAGACACAGAAAAACTGCTTTCTCGTCTAATCAGGGAAGAAGAAAACAACGAGGAAGTAATCCACTCTCAGGGTCCTCAACATATCCTCACATTTGACGATCCACTTGAGGAAGTTATTGATGAATTTGGAAGGACGCGGATGGTCCCCCGTCATGAGGCCATTAGGATAAAACATGAGCAGGATGTGCATGGAAATTCTCCAATCCCCCTCAGCATGAGTCCAATGGTACAAGATGAGTACAAACCAGTTCAAAATGCCCATTATTCTGAGGACTTTGAAATTCGAACCAAGTCCGTATTCTTCTACAGGTTTTCTGCCAACGAGGACATGCGACAAGAGCAAATGAAGGCCCTCCGTGCGCTTGAATCGCTATCTGATACACAAAGAGCTGCCGTGCAACAAGCAAAAAGACTCGATTTGCACCGACGAGCAAATCGTAAAGAAATTATTTTGAGTAAGAGGCAAGAATTTATCTCCTTGATGTGCGTGCACCCCTTAACTGAAGTATGATGAGCCTCGCTTCTTCAAATTTCGATTTTCTGTGCAATTCTTGTTTTGGACGGAATTTCGTGCCCTGCTGAAACTAAAATTTTACCACCCCAGCTACTGTTTATGCAACGGATTGTGGCCACTTCAATAATACATATATATGGAGCATTTTATTTAAAAATAGCAAGACTATTTTCTTCGTTTAATATCAATGTAGACATCCATAAGCTGCTCCAGGGCTGCTTTAATTGAACCCCATGCTCTGACTGAGCTGCTATCATCACAAGAATCTAAAATATCGAGCATTCCCCTTTGAAGCTCTGAACGGAGTTTCGAGGCATCGTCGACGCCAGATTGAAGAAAAATAAACTTTGCAAAATGCTCTGATGAAACCAAAACATCATCCGAGTCTGCAAGTTTCTTGGAATTGTATACATTGATAAGGGTAGATATGAGGAATTTTTTTTCTGCTTCTGGCATGCGGTTTAATACCACCTCGAGGTTAGTTGCTCCAGAAACCATTTTTATTGAGGAGCTTGTTTCTGAGATCGTATCAATAGAATCAAGGCCTACCGAAGCTTGGTCTGAGACGTCATGCTCACAATTACCGCCAAAAAGTTGTTCAGCAAACTTGATCGAAGATTGATCTTCATATTCATTTTCATCTTTGTCTTGCCCATCATAAAGTTCCATCGTGCTTGGTGTCATACAGATGGCGGTTGGTATTATGTTTGTCGCTGAATTGATGGCGATATCTTCGATTTCTACTGTTTTAGCCGCGTCTGAATGTTGAACCCATTGAGATCCTTTTATGTCTTTAATTTGAGGAACAATCGACTGTTGAGGTAATTGTAGGGTAGGCTCAATAGTTGTAAAATTTGATAAGATTGGGGTACTCATTTGTTGGGTAACAGTGACGGTCGAAACAACACTGTAACTACCTCGATCCCAGAACCTCCACCATGGAACGTAGGGTCTGGAATTGTCAACAAGTGGTAGGCTAGCTGTTTGAGTTTCAATCGACTCTTCTGGCTTAACAGGGGGCGTTTGTACAGGCGGAAACTTTGAGGGCGGAAACGGGCTTGTTATTTCATCCACAGTAGGCTTTTCCGGAGCTGGCGAAATTGAATCTGCGATCGGGAAACAGTTTTCCCCAATGGCGTGGCTATTATCGCTAGCGTCCTTGCTTCCTGAGAGTTGGTCGTTGTCCGCAAAAAATTCCACGAAATTGTGATGAGGATACACCACTCTGGCAAATGAGGAAAAACTTGCAATTAGTAAAAGTGATTTTGCGGGATACTTCATCGTAAGTCTCGATTACATCTCCGCATCATTTATAAGGATGCATTCATGATCCTCGGTTGCAATAACAACAACAGCGCGTCCCTTGATTTGATGGTTGCATTTCAAACTGATTTTAAATTCAATTTTCTTTATTAGTGCTCTATTGACCCACTGTTGGGGAGGGGTCACCGGTTACAAGCGGATCATTTGGCAATGTTTGGGTTAGGGTTTGGGGCTCTTCATTTGGATAGTTATTGTAACAGTTAACAGGCCCCACCACTTTTTTATATGGGGAATTACACCCGTTCAAATGCATTTGATCTACACCGTTATATAAAGGATCATGGCCGAAATTACACATGGTTTGATAATGTGGTGGTCTAGGTTGGTTTACAAATGGGTTTGGACACACTTTTTCCTTCTTTGGAGAAAGTTGTTGATGCTCCACTCTGATGAAGGTAGGCTGATCATTATTCTCGGACGTGGTTTTGAAAACCTCTTCACAATTGAATCTAATAGTATTATTTTTATGATTAACCACAATTGGAGCCTCCTTGCAAATTTTCCGATTGTCGTATTGATTATTGTAGATGTCAGAGCCAGAGCCAGAGCCAGAGTTCAGAAGAGAGGAGCATGGATTCATGCAAGTATTAGCGGAGGCGGTGGTAGCAAGAACGGCAGAACAGAAAAGGGAAGCGGTTATTAATTTCATGTCTTTTAGCTTTATTCCTCAATTTTCACTTGTTTATATTTGCAGCAATTTTTGTCCATTGGCATGAATCCCAACCAGTACAATGTAGATATGCTTTCTATTCGTATTTTCTGCGTCAATTTCATTGGTCTTTAATTTGAAAATTTTGATTGGCAAATGCTTATGTCAAGTAGCATTCGCATGAAATTCAATTTAATTAGCTACATTTTAGTTTAGATGAACGATCGATTGGCTAATTGCCCCCATCAAGCAAAAAGCGGCAATTATATCGAGAATGGTACGATTTCGATTGCCAGCAATTCGATCAAAAGGGACGAAATATCTTGGATCTATCTAGTGGTTTATTTGCTTTCGATTGTGTTCATTATATGCTCATTTGTTTTTATGAATGTGGGACAATCTTTTTTAATTAGAGAACTCGATGCAAATGCAGATGTTCCATCTGATGCAATGAGCCTGGTTTTTTATGATGAGGTTCTTGCAATCATTCTGATCGGCATTTGGGGGCATACCTCTGATAGGTTTGGCCGTAGATTAATTTATGCTACTGGATTTTCGCTCATCATGCTTTCAATGCTTTTGTGTTCTGTTGCTGCCAAAACGATATTTCCGGTCACCTTTTTTTCTTTCTTTTCTAGTCTTCTAGCATTTAGATTGCTATTTTCCATTGGTTGTTCAATGGTCGCCTCACTTATGACCGCTTTTCTTTCTGATATAGCGCCGCCAGAGTCCACGGGGCGCCTTGCTGGCCTGGTTGGAATAGCGTCGTGTATTGGTGGCCTGACTGGGGCAATCTTTTTCCCCTTGTTTCCCATCCGAATCGGCTATTTTGCATTAGCAATGTTTCTTGGGTTGTTGTCTATTTTGATCTTTTGCTTTTTTTCTGATTGTTCCTTGCCTTCATCGTGCACTCTTTCTCAGGCGAAGCGGCTTGGAATAAGAGAAATAATTTGTGTAACCTTGAGAGCCAGTAAGAGCGACAAGAATATTTTCCTCTCATACTTGAATTCAATTGTATCTCGCTCGGTCTCAATGATAAATACGACGCTTCTTGAATCCTGGGTTTCTTCATACCTTTCTCAGTCGCCGGGACCAAATTCCAGCAAGTCTGTCGTGATTCGGCTAAATGGGACCTTGCAAGGAACTTCCCTTTTAATGGCCCCTATTTTTGGAATTATTTCATCGCGAATTTCTCCAGCTGCGGCAACACTTATTGCCGCAATGTTGGGGTCCATCGGTGATTTTCTGATGGTTTTCTTTGCTCAAAATCCAACTTCAAACTCGCAAATCGGCGTAATGTTTCTCAAAGGCGCTGGCCAGATTGGGTTGATCGTTTCAGGGATGGCCCTAGCATCTAGACATTCCCCTAAGGAGCTTAGGGGCGCCGTATCTGGAGCATACGGGTTTTTTGGTGCATTTGGCATCATTCTAAACTCCCAACTTGCCAAATGGGTGGGCGCATCTTCCGCGTTAAATCCATTTTTGTTGCTGTTATCATGGGAAACTCTTTTAGCCTTCTTTGCCCTTGCTGTGATGCTCCAGACCAAGGAAAAGCGGCACAGTGGCACAAAAAAGTGCAGCATACAAATATAATACCGATGAGATTTATTTATTTCCAATAAGGAGGGGAATCATCTATTGGGGCTAGGGCATTACATTTGGATCTACAAAGCAGTTGGGAAAGGAGAATGCATCTGAAATTCCAACAATGGAGCTGTCTCCAAAGTTGTTACTGTAATCTCCATCATCAGATGAATTTAAATGTATCTTTACAAGGACAACCAGAGGAGACTCGACCGCCAGTAATGATGTATCAGACCAGGGGTAAAACGCAATTTTATCTCGGAATAGGAAATATATGTTTGCTGCGTTCACACTATCATCATCGTCGGTTTGATCAGATTTACGTTGCGTATCTCCTGGAAGCTCTTCAATAATTATTGGGAAACGCGGTAAAATTAATTTCCAGGCCGAAGAATCAGAAAGCTCGCGCTTTGGTGCGATAAATACCTCATAATATGAGATTTGGCCTATTTCGGACAGCGGAAAATAGCCTATCAGGTTCCAAGTAATCATGACGTAGTCATTGCAACCAAGATGATCTGCCACAGTGGCCTGCGGAGGTGATACATAGAACAAGAAACGATTTTCGCCATCAGATATTCTCAAATTCTGCTTTCTTTTAATCGTTTGAGGAATGGCGTTGGTGATATTAAAAGAAAAAAAGGCCGACAAACCAATCGCCAAAACAATGACAAAGGCCCTCATGACAGTCATTAGAAGCATTAAAATTCGCTACCAAATATGGCATTCATGTACCGCATCGATAAACTCCGATGCCGCAGAAAATCAAATCAATAAGAGGCATTGATGCAGATCAAATCCAAAATCCAAAATATTGCTGATCAAAATTTGAAAATCCTATCAATCTGACTCTGCATCCGAAATGACGAAAGGATTTTTTTGCGATCCAATGTTGGCTTTTTGAAGATCAAGAGTTTGGGGTCTTTTCGCCTGACCATCTGTGACACTTTGACCATCAAAGATACCGGCTTTCCCTTTGGTCTCATCTTCCGCTACTATGAAGGGCTTCGAGGCACTGTCATTGAGAGTCCGTAATTGCCGTTCCCTAAAGACGGGCATTTTACCGTTGCTTCCCAAAATACGACCAGGAAAATAAGGGACAATTTTGTTGTGTTTTCTTTCTTTTGCATTTGATTTAGCGGGTTTAAATGGCTCAGAAATCTTTACAAAGGTGCCTCCACAAGCTTCAAGATGGCTTTTGAACCAAGAATCGGCTTTTTGAGGTTCTCTATTCATCGCTCGCCTTACCCATCCATAAAATGGAGGCCTTTCCCTGCATATGCCAGAGCATCGCCAAATGTGCCTTTTGTAGTAATTTACCTCTCCATGGAAAGAGTGATACACGGTAATATTTGAATTTGCCGCAACATTAATGGCCCTCATAAGAGCTTGGAAATCCGGGCCATGTCCGTCTCTATCTGTAGATCGAGCAGCAACAAATAAGTAGGCGTGAATCATTTCGTGCTAAAAATTAAGTGTTTTCTCATACCAACAGGGTATCTTTTAGGTCTTCCACTGGCCTAAATTTCAAAATAGGCTCAGATAGCTTAATTGTGCAAGATCCTGTCCGTCTGTGGTAGCAACATAAGCCTGCACACAGTGTCATTTTCGAGGACCATTTTACCGTGACAGAGCTTAGTTTCCCTTCAAAATACAATCCGTTGTATTCGAGAAAAAGATCGTAAATCGATGGAAATGCATCGGGATGTACCTCATTTCTAGGGGAATGCTTGAAGAAATCCTTGTCATTATTGGAAGAGGCAAGCACGGTTTTGTTCATCGATTTTATTTAAAATTTGGTAACCATTGAATTAATTAAAACTTGTGTCGTCGTCGATAATGTCACTTGACACCGTAGTCGTTTGAGCTGCTCTTGATTTCCTCTTTTTGCACAGGGTAGCCAACTGACATTCCTTGACATCCTTGATAGAGGACGAAACAGAAGAAAAGCTCGGGAGATTGGCAGCTGGGTATATTGAAGCTGTTGGTTTGGGGCAAGTCGAAGGGGGTAGGGGACATCCCACTTCCTCATCAACCACAAACGTTGTCCAAGCAAAGGTTTGAACGTTGGTTTTGGTTTGCGTCAACGGAACATAATCTGTACGAACAACACTAAACGTGGTTGGGACAGCCAGTGTGGCAACCTCATAAACAACAGAAACTCTTTCAATCGGTGCAATGTGGTTGGCCTTTGTAATGATCTTTCCCGTCTGCCCACGACGCAGAAATACCTTTCCCTTGGTACAGCAAGTTGTTTGCACTGGTTCCGGGACCACAGAGACACAAGCACATGATTTTTGCACGATTTTCTGGGGTATAGCTGGCGCTTCACAGGCCACCGAAGGCGAAGGCTCAACAGCAGGGGGCGGGGCCACGGAAACGCATTGTTGAGTTGGGGTTTCTGACTGAACTTTATTTGGTTCCAAAGAGCAATTAGAAGGTTGCGTAGGTAGTGGAATACGCGAAACCATTGTGAGAAGCCTTAATGGCTGTTGCGGTCGTTGTTGCGGCTCAAAACACCGTTTATCTTCTTTGATGGGTTCTTCCGCTTTCTTTGGAGCGATTGAATTTTCACATTCACAAACCGACGGGGCCTTGTTTGAAAGCACAGGTGATATAAGGGGGCATCCGCTAGAGGAATCAACCGACAACGTAGCATCGTAAACACTCGCCGATTTACATGCTACAAGAAGCGAAAAAAATATAAGAAAAGATAGATACATGTTTATGCAGATGCACATGGCTGTGAGTTATTCCATCATAAGTATGGATTGTTGAGGTGGCGTTTCAAGCGAGTTTCCAGTAGAAACATTTGAGTGCCTGAAAAAATGTCCAATTGAAATGCGAGTGTCCAAATTTTAATTGCATTTCGGCGTTACACTTTAAAAGATCATAACATGACACGGCCTTCACAAAAAACCACCACCATTCGTGATTTGGCATCAGCCAATTGGAACAAAATTTAATGTTTAGCAAGCAATTTCCGGAATTGGGTTGATATTGATATTTGGCATAACTTTTACAAACTTCACGCACCAAGCTCGAGGCATCGAAGATTCCATCTGAAATGCGATTTTCATGCAGCACACGACAGTTTACAAGAAAATATGGACAGTTTACAAGAAACTATGGACAATTTGAAAGAAACTATGGACAATTTGAAAGAAACTATGGACAATTTGCTAAATTTCCTCACGACAAAATTCCCTACACCAATCGCCTTAAACCAACATTTGACCCTTCAGATCCCGAATACAAAGTAGTTCCTGCCTATCGGGTATTGCCTCTCGAAACGATTCCACACTATATATCCAAAAACGTTGCGCGTCAAATACTTGTCACAATGATAAAAAATAGGGTTTTAGATTCTATTTTGTACAACTTACAGAGGCAAGGAAAAATCGCGTTTTACATGACCTCTCTTGGCGAAGAGGCTGCCATTGTTGCGTCGACCGCTGCTTTAGCAGATGAGGACGTAATTTTCACGCAATATAGGGAGCAGGCATCTTTTTTGTACAGGGGATTTTCTCTTCAAAACCTTGCTGATCAGCTATTTTCAAACGAAGCAGATTCGGGAAAAGGCCGACAAATGCCTCTTCACTATGGATCGATAACACACAATATCCATACGGTTTCCTCCGTGCTTGCCACCCAACTTCCTCATGCTGTTGGATCGGCATATTCGCTGAAAATGAACGGAACAAGTAATTGTGAATTTTATATCGGCAAGAAACAATATCAGCCTGCTATTTTGGCGAAGCAAGCGCAAGCGAAGGGGATTTCCATTCTGCACTGAATTTCGCCGCAACGCTTCAGTGTCCAGTTTTGTTTTTTTGGTATCGCCAATGGCATTAATTAGTAGCAGAAATAACGGATATGCTATCTCGACGCCTCTTTGTGACCAATATAGGGGCGATGGGATTGTCTCAAGAGGAATTGGATATGGCATTAAAAGCTTTAGAGTTGATGGGACCGACGCCTTGGCCGTTTTCCATGTATGCTCGGAAGCAAGAACATATGCAATCGAAACATCTTTACCCGTTTTAATAGAGCTCATCACATATCGGTAGGCAGGCAAGCTATCTAATGACACTAATTGCAAGAGTTGGGCACCACTCTACTTCTGACGACTTTACGCTATATAGATCAAAAGAAGAGGTTAAAGATTGGGAGCAAGAAGATACTGACCCTATTCTCAAGTTTAGCAAATGGTATGATCTAGCTTTTGAGCATCTTGACACGGAGGCTCTAAAAAAAGACACAAAAAAAGAATTATTGCACTGCTTAAAACTAGCAGAGTCAAAGAAAAAACCAAACATCGATGCATTATTCTGTGACGTTTATGACAATCTCACACCTAATTTAGAATTGCAAAAAAAAGAGCTGAAAAGGTTCTTGATAGAATATCCGCAAGCCATCGATACTTCTTGCTTTTCAAAATAGCTAGATTTAGTGTCTTGGCCATCACTTCTACATTCTCGCAGCAAATAAAATGGCATTCAAATATTAATCAACTTGCCAAAAAAGAGTTCAAGTTCAAATTTAGCATTCCGGTCGTGATAACTTTACTATATGTTTGTATATTAACTATTAGAACTTTTCTAGCTACGGCCTTGGCGCAATGGAAGCGCATTGGAATCCGGATCCAAAGGCTGCGGGTTCAAGTCCCGTGGGTCGTGGAGTTTTTTTATACAATTAGCCACCATTTAATGCGATTACCTCTTTCGAGTAAAAAAACGTCTCTGCTCCGTGAAAGACTTTCAAGAAATGTTCAGTTTCAATATCAAAATGAGATCATGGGCTTGGTAGCCTCCAGAATAGCAGGCTCTAACCTCCACTTCCATCCAAAAAGCGTAATCAATCCAATTTCTTCTGCAACCCTATTTTGCTCGATGATAAAAAATTACGCCATTAGAAACAATCACTTTTCAAACAATCACATGAAACGGATAGAGGGAATATTGCACCCAAAGAATAAGATCTGGAATACAAATCACTGGCCCGAACCACGAAGGACAGCCGTCTTTGACACACTTGAAGAAATCAGGACTCGTCTAAAGCTGGATCTTGTCAAAAGAAACTATCTTAAAAAGACATTAAATTTATTTCCATCCTCCGATAGCTTGCAAGCGCTTTATCGGAGCGCAGATTTTCATTCACGAACGCAATATTCGAAGCAGATGAGTTTGTTGAATATCCTTCAAGCAATGCAGTTTAAAACGGATGTCGTCTGCTCGTCTATTTTCCCTCGAACAGCCTCAAGTGCAGATCTATTAAGGGAAAACGCGTCCTCAAGCGCCAGCTCATCCTTCCTGAATGATACAATCCAGCGTTCAAACGCACAGGTCTCGCATCTGTGCAATGGCTTGATGTCCGGAGAATTTGGCGATGAAAGCACCAATGCCGGCAATTCGGGATCAGGCCGCTCTTTGCTAGGTGTCTCCGTAAAGCTAAAGGGAGTGAGAATTGGCGGTGCACTTTCAAGCACATTTCAAAAATCCGTTGGACGGACTTCGATAAACTCTGTGTTTGGCAGAAAAGGCAAAGGCGGGCTGGTCTTTGAAAAGGCCTCTTGCCAAATAAGGACGAATCAGGGGATTGTTGGGTTGAAATTAACGGTTGTATACGCCAAGCAAAGCGATTTGCTGTCCCCAAAATACGAACTTCCCTCTTTTTTGAAGCCCATGGATTCATTACTGCACAGAAATACCGCAAAAAACACTCCCGTATTTGGCTTTGAAATCGCAAATATAAATGCCGGTCAGACAAACGCTAAAAAGATCGCAATGGACCATGAGCTAAGCGCCGTTCTGTCCTCCTATGTAAAACCATCCTCTGGCCAAGTTGAATAATTTTAATTTATAAATTTTCAATTCTGTCATGGCTACAAATAGGAATGGGATGTTGCTTCGTACAAATAGATTCATGAATGGACTTTCATGGACGAATAGGTATTTCTCTACATCCACATCTGGATGTTCAGCCGAACCTGCAGCTAGCGCTCTTCCCTCAAAGCCGCTTGATATGTATATGCTACGCATTCCGTCATTTGCAACCCCCTTTGAAGCAGTCTATTCCAACATTTGTGCAATGAAACATCGATTATCCCTATGGACGAATCTCAGAATGCGCAGGCAGTTAGAAATCGACTCGAGTGAGCTTTATTCCATTGGAAGCAATGAGATGAAATGGCAGCGAGCACAAGAGGCGCAGCTATGTTTTCAGCGCCACATTGCTGTCGTACAAGGGGTCCCTAATGCAGCTCTTGGGGTCAACAGAGTGGTAACTCTCTCCTTCAATCCAGATAACTTATTTCCTGAAAATCGGAATGCTGTCCACGCTGTCCGGCTGCTTTGTGGTCATAGATACAGCCCGTTTACAAATATGGTAACCATCAAGGCAGATCGATTTCCGTTTCAGGAGCAAAATAGAAAATTCTTGAGAGACACGATTTATAGACTAAAGGAGGCGGCCATGGTATTTTTATCGTCTTGCTAACGAATAGAAACATGCAGAAGAGTATAAAGACATACCACTAAAGGAGAATGTCCAGAAAAAAGTGACCCAATTCTCCTTCCCTGATGCCTTAGCCAAAGAGCTAGAGAGAAAAAATAATAAATAAGGTTCATTTGAGCAGCATGGAGCGGCAAAAAGCCACCCTTAAATTCAAGTCTGAGATTGGTGCTCTGTTCTCAATATGAAATCCAAAAAGAAAAACCGATCCTTGGCCATATGTTGAAGAGACAACAGCAGGCAGCATCTCGCCAGCCATGTCGTACCAAGCGTGTATATGGCAGGGGAAACGAATATCCTGGAAATGAGGCCCACCATTATAATGGGCTAAGAATCCCAAATCCGACCAAATGCTAACAGTATCCGTGCAATAAAGAGACGGCATTTCATGATCCAACCTAATTGCGGTAGGAACCTTTACTTGCTGTTCGGAGCGCTCTGCCGATATTTCATCACCAACCATAGGATAATTGTAATGAAATGTGCCTGGAAACAGAGATCCAACAGCGACACATGGTACCAAATTCCATCTTGGACCGATAACTTCGTATGGGCTATTTCCCTCTTCAAAACGAATAAAAGATGAGGCCACATATGCGCCTGCGCATATCCCAATATAAATTCCACCAGTCGTAAGATATTTTTTGAGGTTATCAAGATTTCGACCGCTAAAATCCTGCACGAATGGTTGATCGCGTCCTCCAGGTATAATAAAGAAAGACGTTGACGATGAGTTGTACCAGTGTTCATTAGAATTCATCTCCGCAGTGGTAAGAGGCATAATTAGATAATCGACTTTGGGATGGAGCAGTTTCAGCACGAGCCCAAAAAAATCACAAATCTCAGAAAATGAGTTAACACATGTTCCACGACCTTGGTATACATATACAAGTTTCGATTCTGAGATAGGTTGGATTTTGGCGATGTTGGGTTGTTTGTGCGAAATTTTTTAGAAAAACCAATGGCTTTTCTCACCCTTGTCCGCAAAATCAAGCTCAAGGAGCGGGAAATGCGGTTACTCTTATTGTATGCCTCGATATTAACATCTAGGGGTCTTGATGCGTCTGGAAAGTCTACTATCCTTAACTCTCTCATTCACGAGGATCCACTTGACGTCTCGCCGACATTGGGATTCCAAATCCGCACTGTGCCATTTTTTGATGACCAGTAGGTGTTTATTTGGCTTCCCTTGCACAATAGGTATCAGGTGCACATCTGGGACATTGGGGGCCAGGTCTCTTTGCGCCCATTCTGGCGGAATTACTATGAAATGACCGATGGACTTGTATGGGTGATCGATGGGGCAAGTTCGCCACAGCGAATTCTCGAGTCAAAAAAAATGCTGCATGAAGTCCTGGCATCATCATCCTCATTATCGGGGGCTTCATTGCTTATTTTTTTAAATAAGATGGATCTTCCCAATCCGATTTCACCTAAAGAGCTAGAAGAGGTATGGTGGATACACTACTTTCCAGTAGCTTTTGGACTTCTCTGCAATAAGGGGTCATCGATGGCACATTCAGCCGTGCTCAGCAATACTTTCACAAAATGTACAACAGGGATTTGATTGGGTCGTCCAAGAAATAGCTTCCCGTACATTTGGAGCTCTGGTGAATTCCAAGTCTCATGAGTTACACGAATGACAAGGTCCATGGATCCTACCAGGGAACCTTTAGACATTAGCATCGCATAGTCTTACCAAAGAAAATAAAATGCCTTCTTCTTCCGCCTTGCGTACACTTTAAAGCGCCCACTTTATAATAAATCTCTGGAGCTTTAGGGCCACCACCCCTCGAACGAAAATATTTTATTTGAACAGCAAGTAGTCCTTATCTACTTAATGGCTAGGATATGGTCGAGAAGCATATTGCTTTCTTGGATGAGGGGCACTGGATTGATCGAGATTACTGATAGGCGCATTTTCATTTCGCCCTGGTAGGTTTCTTGCTTGGCTCGTAGCTTGAAGCGCCATGTTGAAAAGTTAGCTTTCTTGAAGACCCGATCAAAAGCAGCAAGGTCACTCTCTCGCATTTTCACAAGATCTGAGGCAGGAAGCCCAAGAAGCTGCTCTCCAGCCTCATTGAAAGCATTCTAGGATGGGAAATGAAAAGGTTACCACCCAGCTTTGTCCGGTATGATCAGCCACATGTATGGAGAGAACGTAGCGGTAATTACAAGTATCATATGTTCGTTGGCATTTTTCGCATCGGAAGAGCGACGGCCCGACCTCAATTACCTTCTTTTGGCACTGGACATTTCCTTCAGAAAGCCCTGGGCAGGCAGCATATGCCACCATGCCATCAAACTTGATGAAAGTGATTGTAGCCACAATGTCGGTATATTCGGCCTATGATTACGGCATAATTTGATTACCTTTTCATGAAACTGTGGTTCTTCCCGCATAAACTGAGACAGAGTCCTTCGCTCACCGATCGAGGTAGAAAAGGATGATCCGCTAGCTGCAGAAATGCTTTGAGAATTATCGTCACCCAAGCCGCTGCCCGCGCTGAGGTTGCGAATAGCTGCTGTGCGCGCAATAGAGGCGCCGACAGAATCATACCATCCGCGAAGCGTCAAGGCCTCTTCTATATCGGTCGGTTGCAACAAGATTTGCGAAGAACTAACAAGAGAAAGCGTGCGGCCAGACCAATCAGAGACCTTTGCCCCTTTTATAGCTAAAACTGGCTCTGATCGCCAATCAGACCCTTCCGCCTCTTCTGCCTGTTTTCCCCAAAGCGTGGCTCTAATAGAGGCATTTGAAGCATCAACAAGTACAAGGTCCCTTCGAGTTATTTGTTTGCCTGTTGATTTAGCAACAATAGTGGAGCATGGATGGACATCAAGAACGATTCCAATTACATCTACAATGGCGTCTTTTGGATATTCCGCGATTTTTGAAATTGGAACGATAGAGTATGTGGGTGCAGGTACAGATGCCGCCTCTGTACCTAAAAGTGGCTTGATAACTGTGTCTTTTTCAAGAGTGAGGTCGTAGGGATTAGCGTTGGCAGCAGATGCTGCTGAGGTGGATGCAGCACCAAATCCCCTCTTTGCAATCTTCACTTGTCCCTTGGAAATGGAATAGACTCGACCCACTTCAAAAAGTGGGAAGAATTGCGTCACCGCGTCATTGAAGGCAGTTGCTCTTATTTCGCCTGAAGCGTCCATGAGAGTTAGCGAAAAAACTTTTCCTTGTCCACGAGCATTTGTGAATACACGGATGTCTTGCTTTGAGATACATCTTGCTTTTATGGTCCAGCGATTATTGTAAGGCGATAAGGAAGCAATTGGAGTGTAGTCTGATGAAGCATCCAATGAGCCATATGATACACCGTTGGGGATCAACGATGGAGCCTTAGATTTCGGAGTTAGAAGTGGTGGTATCGAACTGCTAGAAGCAGGGCTTTCCATGGTCGAAAATGGCATGTTTGAAGAAGGTGGATCTGAGGAAACAAGGGATGCTGAGCCAAATACGTGAGATTCAGAAGCTACTGCACAAGGGCCGCCAGAAGCCGAATGGGAGGGAGAAGGCGAAAACGATGGCGATGGGAGAACCGTATTTTGCGCGCCTGAAGAGGCTGGGTTTGTCTTTCCAGCAACAAGTTCTTCAATATTAATGGGATTTCCTATTTTTGAATTGAGGGAAACAATTTTCTCGGGCACAATGTCTAGAACGATTAAAATCTTTCTCTCTTTGACGAGAGAGCATGTAAACTTTCTCAAATAGACAAGAGAATTTAAAGAAATGCGGCCATCTTCTACAAATGGATTCAAATTTGCAGCGAGCATCCCTATGACAATTAATGGGATCACGAACCTTGGAAGTATGCAACGCCATCTGAAAAAATCACACGATAGCGATCTTGGATGGCGCCGGAATTTGGACCGGAGGGAACCGGGCCCGACAATTTCTTTAAATGAATGATTTGTAGCACAGGGTTGACGTACGATGGATGATTCTTGTCATCCTTAAAAATTGCTTCAACCGTCCCTGGAGTAAGGGAAGCCATGGAAATGGGAATGGAAGAGCTGTTGGCCATCATTATTTAAATTAAAAATAATCTCGAAAGCCGGATTTGAACCAGCGACCTATAGATATCAGCTTTCAACTACAGTCTACCGCTCTACCAACTGAGCTATTTCGAGGTCAAAATATGCAGATAAAGACTGATTTGTATAATAACAATTATGATAAATTTTATTTTACATCAGAATTTACATGATGGAAGATAAAGAGCTGGCTCTTTCTCGTGCACAGGCAAATTTGGTGTTCAAGTCTCTTCGTTCGATCCCTGGAAATAATGCATGCTTTGAATGCTCACTTAGTAGGTTTTAATTTATAACCCGGTATCCTAGGTGGTCCCACATGGGCCTCTGTTTCTTTTGGAATCTTTCTTTGCATGAATTGCTCTGCCCTACATCGAGCGCTTGGGGTCCATGTTTCGTACGTTAGATCAACTCTTCTTGACGACTGGACGCTTCGGCAGATTAGACGCATGAAAGTTGGTGGAAATGCGATGATGGAAAGATCGGCTCTATCGAAAAGTATTTGGCTTTACATTTATTTTTAGCTGATGATATCAGCCTTCGATACTCAGGCCCCGCTGCAACGTCTTTTAAAAGTCAGCTGGATGAACTCGCCGAAAAGGATGCGCAAAAATTTCCCTCTGTTGATGGATTTATCCAATCGCTTCAGCCATCGTCTCCTTATCCTTCCCTGATCTCTGTAAACACGCCGTGTGACACGCCGCAGTATACGGCTGGAAATTCTCATGGGTCGCGTCTTACAAAACTGGGGATTAAAAAATCGCTTATTACGACGGACAAAAATTCATCCCCCTCACCTATAGACTTTGACCAGCTAACCCAGAAAGCAGCTGAAGTCTCGTTATCCAAATCTCCGTTCTCTGCAAGTTCGCCAAAATCCATACCTGGCCAAACCCAATCTGCATCTTCATCTATTTCCCAAGAGCCGCTATTTGCGACCAGCTTTTGCCAAGAAGGCGAATCTGATGATCGCCTTGGAATGGGCAACATGAGACGACATAAACTTGCTCCTAATTCGGGCTCGTCAGTCTCGTCTTCCTCGTTGTCAAAAGATACTAGAGGCACATCTTCAAGTGATTATTTCTCCTCCAATAAAGAGCATGAGGAACGCCAATCCTTAGAACGCCTACGTAGCCTACAAGGGGCCCAATCGATTTCCTCTGAAGATTTCGACCCTAGCCCCGCCAACACTGTAAACAAGCATAACTCATTATCACCCTCAAGTAGCTTTAATGATCTTACTCAAGCAGGGATTGAAACGCTCAAAGATTTCCTGTCCAAATCCAAGTCAAAGGTGCGAAACATTGAATTTTATTTGTAGATTTATACCACGATCAGCAACTACTCGTCTTCACCACCCACACGCAGATATTAGTTTACCCCGAGACCGTCGACCAATAAAATTTGGCATAAAAATATTTGTCTGAAATTATTAATTTACTTGAAATGATTGTCTTTGGGGATAATCTGCTAGGGAACGCATCGGCCGCCAATGATTCCCTTGTAACGGTTTCCCCAGAGCTGAATTCATCCTGCAACACGGCCGGGAAAAAAAATCGAATTGGGGGGGAATCGACCTGTTTGCATTATGACCAATTGTCATATGCCTCCAGGCTTTTCATTGCAAAGACACTTGTATTTTTCCTCCGTCTCTCAATGAACTTGCCATTGCAGTTTGACAGTAATTTAGATAGCCCTTACACGTAGGACTTAAATGCAGCGCCTGCACGCATCTTGGCAAGGCAACTCGAAACATGCTGGTTTGTCTGCAATGTTCTCTGATGTTTTGCGGTGGATCCCTGGGACTGAAGAAAGACAAGCACTCTTTTTTTATGGAATGTTCGTTTAACCATTACCAGACCGACAACCATGCCATTTGTATGTGATTGTAGAGCTTATTTTTGTTTAGTCTTTGAGTTGCGCTCGTGCTCGCTTCTTTGCTTTCTTTGTAAAGGGCTGATTGGCTCAACTGTTTTCACTCAGCTTTTGACTCTTGCGACTCGCCAAAGGTCCTCGCAGGCAGCCCCATTGCCCACAAACGTTGCCCCGCTTGGGCTTTACAACCTCGGAAAGACGTGCTTCCTTAATTGTATTTTGCAGGTTTCTTTTCTAAACAATCCGTGCCTTCAAAGATTTTTTTTGTCTTCTGGACATGCCTCCCATGAATTTTCATTGAAAAATGAAGCAAAGTAAGTTTGGTCACTTTTTTTAGGGTGCTTGATTTGTGGACAAATATTTCCACATTGACTGAGGAGATTCAATCGGAGTGCATTGCCTGTTTATTTGATCTGCTTTTCCAATCGGTAAGTGTTTATCTGGTTGTAACCCTAGTATGCCATTAACAGTGCCAGTTTAAGGCCTTCTTCTTCTTCCTCTTCTCCAAAACAGCCTGCCATAATAACATCTCCAATGGCGGTCCCAATATCGCCCACTTCTCTTCTTTGCTCTTTGTGGAACCTGACAGCCACATGCTCTTCGTCCATTTCTGCCGACATATATGACGTACACCCTGGTCCGGACCTGACAGGCTACTTGCAACAAGATGCCCATGAGGCCTATATCTGTTTGCTATCGCGGCTGCACTCTGCACTGTCTGTAAGAAACAATTTTGTAAAAAATGATCCATGCTCATGCATAATCCATGATGTGTTTGGAGGAAAGCTAGCATCCACCATCTCATGCCCCGCATGTGGATACTCCTCAACAACATATGACTCTTTTTTGGATTTATCTTTGGCCATCTCTATCCCCAGCTTAGGACCGCTAAGCCTAATCAAGTCAATTGAACACTTTTTATCTCCAGAACACATTGATGATTCTTGTCCAAACTACTCGCTCGGAAAGTGTTCTGGATCCCCTAAATTGGGGAGTGGAGGTCTTTTGAAAAGCTTCAAGCTCACCAAACTACCACAAACGCTTTGTCTGCATTTAAAGGTCGGAATGTACAATCTTACTAATCGATTAGCGATTTGAGCACTCCAAAGATAGTGCCAGAAAGATCGATACGCTCATCAACTTTCCGTTACAAATTGATATGAGGTCGTTTATTGATGAGCCAATGGCCAAAATATACTATGAATATTCACTCTTGGGTGTTATTCTTCACTCTGGAAGCATCAACTCCGGCCATTATACTTCTTTTGTTAGAGTTGGGGAGACATGGTTCAAGGCTGATGATTCCTCCATTACCCAGGTGAGTGTAGAAAGCATTCACTCTTCAAACCCATATATTCTCTTCTATATTCAACGTGCTCATGACACAAGCGGGTAGGGGCGTTTTCTAATTTATTTGGTTGCAATGTTTGGCAACCCGCGCCCCTTCCTCGTTCCGCTTCTTTCCCTTTCCCTGCTTTCCATAATCCATTAGAGTCGCCGATAAACATATAATAAATATTTATTTTATCGACCTTTTAATGACGACTATGTGTGTGACCTATAATAACCGCCAAAGTAATCAATCATTTGCCTTGTAAATGGGTGGGGAATTTCGCTGATTTTTGGAGACCTCAAGAAAGTCAAGGTTCCCGTTGCCAAATTTGTTTCAATGTAGGGAGGCTGATATGCCCAGAATCGCATAAACGGGTTTTTCGAATGGATCTCAATAGCTTCCTTTAGAGCCTTTGGCCCAAGCTGCACCATGTCCATATCCTTAAGCTTAAGTGATGGGTGGCCAATGATTTTCGCACCATTTACATAGACTTGACCGATCGAAATCAATTTTCGAGCCTCAAAGACAGATGGCGACAGCATGGCTCGGAAAAGCACATTATCGACGCGTCGTTCCATTTCGCAAATGGTTCTATAAATATTTCTAAAGTTTTCGCCGTTGAATTCGCGTCGATACATGCGATGAGTAACGTCCCCATTAAAAAAGAGACGACAAAGCGTTTTCGATTTCCATTCCGCCGCAAAAACGTCAAGCTGGTGGTCCTTCAGTGGCGTGAATCTCATTAAATTGAATACATTTGCCGGGTTCCAAGACAGTTTTGGTTGCACCCTTAACAGGCAATACCGAAATGAGCGCCTCATCGATGGCAAGGGTTTAAATTTTAAATTTTATTTGCCGATGCGTTTTGGTCGCCATTGTTGTTATTCATATGCATGGAGCCTCTGGCTTTAAAGGCAAAGCAGGCCCGGCCATCTATTTCATGCCTATTTGACGGGAGCATGGTCATGTTAGCAGACGATTCATTCTCAAAAGTTACGAATCCAAAGCCTCGAGAATGTCCGCTTAGAATGTCCATTGAGATTTGCGCTCTAACAACGGGCCCAAACCGGCTGAAATATTGTGCCAATGAATTCTGTGATGTTGAAAAAGAAAGCCCTCGGACAAATATTTTATTGTTTTTAATGGGCTCTTGCACTGTGTTCATGCCATACTTGCTTTCAGAGAAGAATCTCTTCAATACGAGATTGCAACGGTGGTTCATAAATTTTTAAAAATTGAAATGCTTTTATTTTTTAAATGCCCAATCCCGTTCAACAAAGGATGGAAGACATGATTCCAGAGCTTGATGCATATCACAAACAGGATATATTTTCAGAGGACGAGATTTTCCAAATAGTCGAGAACCGTCAGAGATTAGAGAATCGGCTAAATAGGCGCATATCTAAGCTTGAAGATTATCTTCGCTTAGCAAAGTACGAACTTGGCTTGGAACACACCCGTAGATCTAGGATGGCGGAAAAAAAGATCCAATCCCCTTATTTACGACCAACGCCCCCAACAAGTACTGCATTATTTCAATATTTTTAGAAAGAAAAAGGAAAAACATCAGTTGCGATTATGCCATAACACGTCGCATCCATTCAATTTTCCGCGCAGCATTACGGAAGCATTATGGGGATATTTCGCTGTGGCTTACCTATTTTGACGTTGCCACCTTTCTTGGTTCGAAGAAAGTTGTGTCCCAAATATACGGAACTGCACTTCAGAAGCATCCTACTCAAGTCGGCTTTTGGATAATGGCGGCCTCCTTCGAAGCAAACGAATGTCACACTCCAATGAGTGCACGGGTTATTTTCCAAAGAGGAATTCGTGTAAATCCCGACTCCCTGGCGCTTTGGCTCGAGTTTTTCAGATTTGAGGCCATTTTTGCTGTCTTGAGACGGCTATCTGAATCGACCACCAGCGGTGACGAAAATCTCTCCAGTATTGCTAATGGGGCTCTTGCATTGGCAGTCTTTGACAGTAAAAAGAGCGTTTCAAAACCTGCATTTGTTCAAGCTTGCCTCGAGATATACAGGAAAATATTGTGCCAATTTTCCGATATGTCCTTGCCTCTGTTAGAGGCTGCCTTTTCCGAACAGTCTAAGTAATTAAAAAATAATTTATCGTGCAAAGACAATTGCCCTCTTTCGTAAATGAAAGCATTCCGCTTTAATGTTTTGGTGTCCATTTTGAGCCCGTTTGGTGTCCATTTATTGCCGCTGCTGTTATTGAAAGTGCTTCAAGTTGAAAAAATTTAAGGGCACGCTTGCTGTCAATGATGCAGGCGTTGAAGCCGAAAATTTATTCAAAATTTTTCTCGTCTATTGTAAAGGACTGTCCACAGCCACAAGTCTCCTTTACATTGGGGTTTGCAAATAGAAATTGAGATGAAAGCTTGTCTTCGACCCATTCAACTTCAGACCCAATGATAGAAATCAGGGCGCGTGGTTCGATGGCTATTTTAATTCCATCTTGTTCTATTATTTCTGTTCCCTTTGACTCTGAGGCGATGTCAAATATCCATGACAAATTATAGGAATTACCTGAACACCCTTTGGATCGGATCCCGATTTTTAAAATAGGGGGCTTTCCGTCATCAAATTGTGTCTGAAGCTCCCTTATCCTAGCGACGGCGCTTGGTTTCTAAAATGTAAGTCATCACGATCGTTACAAGGGTAAGCAACTTCGCCTGCCGAGGTCTTCTTAACATTGGCCGTATAATGGGCGAAGCGGATGTTCCTGTACATGTTGTTGTTGTTGAATTGAAGCGTAGACCTCTGTTTAAATAGGTGCTTGCACGCGCTTGACATCGAATGTGCGCGTGAAAAGTTCTACATTTGGAAAGGAAAATGACATAGGAACGCCAATTAAACATTTTGGCAATCTAAAATTACGCCCAAAGTTTGTATGTCACTTTAATTTTAGTAAAAGAAAACTGCCAATCTTTAAAAACAGCATTCATTGCCGTAACAATGGAATGGTGGTTGGTATCTAACATTTATAATCTTTAATTTCCTCGTGCTGTCCCTGCTCGGCAAAATAAATAATGTAACTGGTTTTCAGCTTTCCATCCTGAAGAGATGGACTTTTCCGTTCTTGCTGGCGGCAGCAAGAAGACATGTCTCTGCAAATGGAGACCACCTTACACTTGTAACGGCTCCAAGTGCAGGCATCATAGATGGTGAGGGCCATCCCTGCAATGTTTTGGCAGATATACTTCCCGAGGCTCCGTGTAAAATACTCGAAATTCGAGCAGAGCCCTTTTCATGGGAAGAGGAAAAGGAAAGATGCTCGTTTTCATCATAAGACCATGATATGGAATCAATGGGTGTCCTCAGCGATTCGATTTCCTTTAAAATAGAAGGTTTTGACTTGTAAAGCGGATTTCCGCCATCCATTCCTTTGGCCCCCAAAATCGAGGTTATACCGCTATCGGTTCCCACGGCAATATTCGCACCAGAAGGGGAGATGCACAACGAAGTGCCCTTCAGGCCAGAAGAATGTAAGGGTATTCTATTGATGCAATTGCCACGCCCCGATGAGAGGGACTCTGAACATATTGCTCGCAAATCCCACTGTGACAAAGTACTTCCTGTCTTGTTTCCTTCTAAAGTCCATAGGGTGGGATGTGGGGAAATGGGGTCCCATTCGACCGCCACAACACCAGAATCGTCTCCGGTCTTGATCCGTGTGACCAAAGATAGGGAGGTCGAATCCATTATTGCAACATAGCCATTACCTTCACCAATGGCAATGAAATTTTTGGAAATTGAAACCACAGTTCCAATCATGGATGGATCATCCCCTTTAAAGATGCCAGCGTGTCTTCCAAAAGAAGAATGCGGAATTGCTGTTTGAGATTCAAGATCCACAATGTAAAAATGGCGCTTCATACCACTTACGAAGGCGGAACTGCAAGAGGGCATCCATTTAACGCATTTAATTGGGAACGCTTGTAGCTCGATTTCGCTTCCCAACAATTGTGGCTTCATTGTAGACGAGATTTTACTATCAAAATCTTCTTCCTCGGAAAAAGACGCATTGGATAATGAAAAAAGCCTTATCGTTTTATCCTTGTCACCACCTGTGAGGATAGAAGCGCCGGTTATTGGATTCCAATCAATGCTCAAGGTAGATGTCTAAGGTAAAAAATCAAACTCCTACACTTGGGTTTACAACACACTGTGTAATGTTACCACAATACTTGATGTTACTGATGTTGGTTGAGTTCTTCACCGGCATTTTTGGTGAAGACATCTTTGCATTCCCCTTTTTCTTTGAAAGAAACGCATGAATGCAATCAAGCTCGCCATCCTCGTCGTCAGACAATTGAGAGGCTCCTTCAAAAATATTCGTATCCGCAAAAGTGGGCTTGACCCATTTAGGCTTTGGATTGATTTTCTCGAATTGGTCTCGTAGCCGAGATTGATACTTGGATCCATCTATCGAACCAGACATCATAGGATTTTCATCCGCTTCCAGATCCTCTGGCCTACGAAGCTTTTTCAATTGGGCTTGCGAATTGAGATTTACAGAAATCGAATCGTCATCTGAATCATGCCAGGCAACCTCTGAGCTGTTGGGGCTCTTTTTGATTGCAGCCTTTGAATCCAAAGCGGCCGTATCCCGAGTTTGAAGATGTTCATTACTTGGACGTTTATCTATGACAAAGCTCATAAAAGAATAAAGAAAAAATTTCACTTTAAACTTTAAATTTTTATTATTTTGACACCAATTCATTTAAAGACGTTTCAGCATGTTGAAGCCACGTAGAAAATCGCATGGAAAGCTGCTTGCAGTTGGAAATGGTCAAAGATCGTGGATGAACCCATGAATATTTGAATATATGAGTTGTCTCATCGATAAACCCCTTTGCCAGCTTTTGCGATATCAGCTTCATTAATGCAAACTCGACCTTGTCTTCAGGGATGTTGGCGCTTTCAGCGATTTCTTTAAATGAAACATCACGGGAGCCCCCTGAAAGTGAGCGTTGGAAAAGCAGATTGGTAATGGACATGAGAGAGATTTTCTCCAGTACAACGGAAACCTCGGAGGCTGAAATGATTGCCTCCTAAATGGTAAGCTAAACCCGAAAAACAATACCTTCAAATGTTCTAAAAGCGAAATTGAAGCTGATGCCTGTCCGTATTCCATGTTTTCAACCAACAAGCCGATATTTGAAACGGAGGGAGAATTTTTTGTTGCCTTCAACGCGGGAAACGCCCTTGAATTTATCTATCAATAAAGCAAAGGCGCTTACAAAATCGCCAAAAAAATAAATGTTTGGACCCGTCAAGGCGGCAATTCCTATTGCCGTAGCCCATGAAAGTTTGTCGTCATCAGATAAGTTACAAAGATCTACACAGTCCAAGTATTTGATGGCATTCAGATAAAAGGAGTCCCTATCATTTGAAAGCTAAAGGTTGACCAAAACGACACTACCTTGGCAATATTGGTGACAAGCAGCCAATGGCTGGCAAATATGGCCTTATCAATGCAAGGGGTATTCTCAATAAACTTTGCGGAGTCCTTGGAATTTTGAACAGCCTCTTTAATGGCATCCGCCCTTTTGGAGTCCAGCAACTTTAAGGACAATTGTGTGAGCAGTAAGGAATGTGCAGCAGGGTCTGAAAGGACCTCTTTATGCTCCTTGAGCTTTAAAAGGAAAGCCTCCGCCTCTGACGCCGCAAGAGTATCAACGGTTAACACGGCTAGCTTGATAAGGGCTACCGGCTGGATGAAAGTAGCGATGGTTTGCACGACTTGCGTAAACAGGCGAAAACGGAGCTTGGCGGTTTGTGGGGAAGAGAAAAACGCCAATAGCCGCAGTGTAAGTGGATGCCATAGCTTATGATCATATAGGCTTTGAATGTCCCTTAAAAGCTCGATATTGTCTTGCGATAGTTCGGCTGATTTTGAAATGGACGACAGAAATGATGATGCGCCAGATAGATCAATATCCATTTTAAAATTAAATTGGGCTATAAAGCTTGCTTTTTATTTTTAATGTCCCTGTTTACGTTTGGCAGCGAAGCCTCGATGCCTGGCAAGGAAGCACTATCCGATGCGTACGCCTTTCAATTTGCCAGAAATCAGGAGCCCAGTAAGACAGAAAGCCCCATGCCAAAGGACCAGATTTTTACAATCAAAGACATGATGGATAGCCTTGGAATGGCACCTACAAAGGCCATAGCCAAATCAGACTCGGCGCTTGAATACTTGTTTGAGGACGACGAAAAGTCAAACGCTCCTCGCCAATCGTTTGGGTCCAGATTGGCTTACGGAACGGGCATCACATACTTTTCCGGCCTGATGTTTGGCGGCCTTTGGGGGTTTTCGGAAGGGTTTTTGCTCCCAGGCAAGCACTCCACCAAAATGCGCTGGAATATGATTCTAAATTCTTGTACACGTAGAGGCCCCTTTTTGGCAAACAATCTTGGCCTTATAGCTCTTTTTTACAATGGATTCCATGGCGGCTTGTTGAAGGCGTTAGACCAAGATTCCAATGTTTTAACAACGGCAGGCTGCGCATCGCTTGCTGGGGCCATTGTAAGATCGCCTGCTGGCGCAAAACCAGCATTGGTTGCCGGCGTTGTGACAGGCTCCGTGATGGCGTTGTTTGATATTACTAGAAATTTCTCTTACTATTCGGAGGCTCTCAATGAGATCTTTTCAAATAAAGCCACATAATTTAATTTGATTGGTTTGATTTACACAGGTTGGTTGCCTCCCCTAAATGGTGTACAAGCTTGTCTCGAATCTCCTGTAAACCCTGCAGCAAATTCTGCCGGCTCAAGGCGAGCCGAAGATCCACAAGTCTATTAAAAATGCCGGATGTCAAAAACAGCTGCTTCATTTCACTGCATGGCACGATATATGTTTTTAAAATGCAATTTAGCGCTTTACAACAAGATAATTGCACCTTGAGGTTCTGGCAATTGATGATGTTGCTGACCAGCCCACTATATATGTCGTTGAGGATGTTTCCGGGGCAAAGGATTTCACAAAAGTTTGCTTTAGTGATGAAATGAACTAGCTTTTCGTTGAGGAAAAAAATTTCAACGGCATGGGCAGAATTCCATCTAACTTTGTGTTCGCCCACTGAAATGGACTCTTTGAGGATTCTAAGCGCATGGAGGATATTGATCTCAGCACATGGATCTGTAAGACCCGGGTCTAATATGGAAAACAAGAGACCAATCGCCCTGATAGAATGGGACTTTACAGATGGAAATACCAGCAAGGCCTTGAAAATAATCTGAAAGTAAAAATCCACTTGGTCGCTTGAAAATGCAGTAGGCGATGTGGAGCCGGTTAAATTAGAAATTGAACACGTGAATAGCTCCAATGCTTTGATACCAAGTTTGACAAAACATGGCGAGCAACGAAAATCGACCAGCCGCTTTTCAAAGGCCTGGATAAACTCAATGCTAAAGCCATGATCGTAAAGAAAAGGGATGTGTTTTAGAAAAATACAAAGTATGTCAAAATATTTGGTAGAAACCTCTGGATCACATGTAAACATCATATCGCCACTGAAGACAGAAAGGGTATTAAGCTTTAATAGCCCCATGCGCTTTGAGATGGTTGCGTTAGATGCAAACAAAGAGCCAAAATCGATGCTGGGATTTAGGTCCAAAAAGGATTTCAACATGTTCATCGACTCCAGCCATGCCGTTTCATCACAAACCTCAAAGGCTTTCGCAACTAAAAAATGCACAGAGTTGATGACATCACATACCAATTGAGCTTGAGAAGATTTTATAAATGCAATGAATAGTTTCGATGTGAACGTTCTTGACATGATTAGTGTGGACATATATACGGAGGATTTCTCAGAACAAATTATTTCAAGTAGCCTTGTAAGGAACAATTCAAACTTTCCAGCAAACAAAGAAAGTTCAACACCGCTCAAGTGTGGCAGCAGAGAGTCAAAAACAGCAAAGACTTGAAGCAGAAAATCGGTATAGCCCTTTTCGTGGCCAGTAAAAAAACACGCTTCATCAACAATGAAAAGACCTAACAGGCTACTATAGTGGGCCATGCTTTTTTCTATTGGGAATTCGCTCAGAATAGCCACAAGGTAATGCAAAAGTTGGTATTTGGAAGAAAGCTTGTATTTACCTTGATGAGCACATAGTATATTGATCAAAAGGTGAACAGAATGGTCGTTTTTCAATATCAACGGCTTGAATGCTGAAAAAAAGGTGGCCAAAATATCGACAGCAAGCGCACATATGGGCTCAGGAGAACCCTTGACGATTCGAAACAAAAAATTGAACAAGTCAAAGCAAAATCTTTCAAACGACACGCTGATTGAAATAAACGATAAAATGCGCCCAGAGGGCCGCCTAGACATGCCATTGGCCTGGAAAATATGTAGAAACCTGGAGTTTGCCTTCAAAATGAAAAATATATTTTCAAGAATAAGAGACTGAACTAGCATGTGGCCCTCAAATCTAGAGGCGCGCTGATCAATGCCATCGGAGCCGGCCTTGATCGACGAATATTCGACATATACGCTTAGCAAGGATCCGTCAAGCTTTTTCAGTAGAAACAGATTTAAAGCGACTTGGGCAAGTTTTGGGTCATTGTACAAAAAAGTGCTCTTAATTAGCGATTTTAAAAGCCTCAGGGCATTTCTAATCAAATAATCTCGCAGGGTAAAGGAAACATCTGAAGCAACCTCAGTTTCAGAATAGAAAAGCTCCTCCGAATGGGAGTCCACATTGAATATGCAGTCGCTTAACCTCTCCAATAGATTTTGACATTCCGTCTTGGATACAAGCGACTGCCAGTCAAAAGCCCCGCCCAACGAAAGATGGATCTGATTGAACGAAAAAGCAAGGGACCTGAAAAGATTGCTCAGTATCTAAAATTTAAAGGCCCGTGCATACCTTAGCAATGGCTATGGTGGATGGCTTTGGGAGCCTACATAGTAAATCCAACTGTTTGCGAATGCAAACTGAAAAAAAATCGACAGAAAAGACTTTCGAGTCTTCCGATAGGGATGATCTTATAGCCAACTGTGCTATTATTCTTGAACCTGTTTTAACCAACGCACAACTGTTGGCATCTGATTGGTCAAAGCACTGGAAAAGATGCAAATCAATGTAATCGACCAAGGCATACTCCATTGCCTGCAAAACGTAAGAAAGAAAGCTTACTTGGAACGCCGTTTTATTTCGAAAGTCAATATGTAAGCCCAACAAATACGAGCAAAATCTTTCATCAGTTATGGGCGATTTGGAGTTAAAGAGAACAAGTAAGGCTTGAAAAAGATCATGCCCATTTTGTACCATAAATTAAATTTAAACTTTTGGCTATTTATTTCCGAACGCCGAAATTCCAGTGATTCCCTTTCCCAGTATCAAGGCGTGAATGTCACTTGTGCCTAAGACGTGTTTAGATACTACACCAAATACCCTCATATGTGTTGACGCCTTCAAGGTTCAAAACATGTCTAATTATGTGATATTCGTCACAGATCCCATTTCCGCCAAGCATGTCTCTGCAATCTCTGGCGATTTTCAGAGCCTTGTGGCAGGAATTTCTTTTCACCAATGATATTAATTCTGGAGGGCAGGTGTCGTTGTCTTTCAATTTTCCAACCTGAGCGCAAGCATTTAGACCAAGGGATATCTAAATGGGTAAAGCCATGCAAACCTCTGTGACCGCATCGGCAAGCTTTTTCTGAATTAGCTGGAATGATGCAAGAGGCTTCCCAAATTGTGAACTGGCGGAAATTATGGAAACAACATCGTACCGCTCGATAACATAATTTCTGGCCCTATGTAGACAATCTTCTGCCGCCCCTAACGCACCCCAGGAAATCCCATATCTGGCATTATTCAAACATTGAAAAGGGCCCTAGAATCAAAATCCGCCGTCTCTCTACCTGCAATCCTTTTGCTTTTGGAAGGATATTTTCCATGGGAACACAAACTTCGTCCATTAAAATCGATCCGGTGATCGAGGCACGAAGCGAAAATTTCCCCTCTATCTTGGGAAATGAAAGTCCCTTCATTCCCTGGCCCCTTAATAGATATGGCATACCTTTTCTAAAATGAATCCTCTAACGGCATTCTTTTCCTGAGGAACCTTTGCCCATACAACTGCCAAATCAGCAATTGGCGAATTTGTGATCCTCAAGTAAACATTGAATTGGTACCATTGTTTAGACCCCTGTAGAACATAGTGGTCTTCTTTGAAGGTTGCCGTGCACTCCATGCTTGACGGATCGCTTCCGTGATTTGGCTCAGTTAATCCAAAGCAGCCAATAAGTTCGCCGGTAGCTGTAGATTAGCCTAGTGAACTTACCCAATTTTCTCAAATACTTTTCTTTTTGTAGATCGCTGCCAAACTTCCAAATCGGAAACATGACTAGGGACGATTGGACACTCATCGCTGAACGATATCCAGAATCAATTCTTTCCACTTCCCTGGCAATAAGTCCATATGCAATGCTGGAAACACCTGGACATCCATAGTCATTGATGGTTGAGCCAAGAAATCCAAGCTCACCCATCTTCCTTAAAATTATCGGGTCGAACGCTAAACATTCAAAAATTGAGTGTTACCTTCATTTCTAAAGTCATCCTTTACCCTTGGCAAAAGATAGCTTTTGCAAAACTGCGCTGCTTGGTTTCTACCGTCAATTTATTAAAAATGCCTAATGGTGATTTCTTCTTCCGTTAAAAGCAAAGTTAAAGCGAGAGGATCTTCCCAAGAAAACGAGGTCGAAGGGATCCTAGACGTATAAAACCGTCTAAAGGGCAAGAAAAGCGTCGATATGTTTATCGACATTAATTGCATTCAAAGTCCAATTTGTTAAATGGTGATTCAATGTGTACATTGCACATCATGAAAAATAATTTCATTAAAATTGAAAAAACAAAATGGAGAATCGGGGTATCGATCCCCGTGCCTCTCGCATGCTAAGCGAGCGCTCTACCATTTGAGCTAATCCCCCACGACAAGAACGAAACTATTTTTAAATATAAATATTTAGCTTGGGGGTTTTAAACCGTTTTTGAATTACCGTTATCTAATGATTTCGATTGAAGAAAGATTGAAAAATCTTTTAAAGCATAAAAAGATTTCTGAAAGGTTGCCCCTCCAATGATTTGATATTTAGAATCCACAAAGAATTGCGATACTACCTTGATGAAGAGGTTATGATTTCCGACAAGATAGATAAGCTATTTGCTATCGACAAGGATGATTATGATATCAAAAAACAGGTATTTATATCCTTTAAGGTCTTTTTAGAAAGAATGCCTCGCTGAAACTCGCCAAATGATTTATGATTCCAAAGCTAGATTATCCATAGCCATCAAGAACCTCAAAAATTTGACGGTAATCCTGTCAATTTCAATTTAGGCGTACGAGCAAGAGTGTAGCGATGTTGCTATTATTGACTCTGACATTTTCAAGTCTGCCCTAAGTGTCATTCAGATGGCCCCCATTTTGCAAGATGACGACGAAAATAACTCTGTTTTATTAGTGCTATAAAATATTACTATTTATTTTTTTCTAAAACATATTGCTGTAAACGGGATAGAATATTAGAATGCAACCAGGCTTTTGGAATGGTCTCCATGACCCTGTCTCGCTCGCCAGCCGATGCTAGCCGTCGACAAGTGATCCACTTAAATATGTCGATATCGTTGACTTCATTGAGGAGCTTTTCGTATTCAAGCAATGAAGCCAATGGAAGTTTGTGCAAAGAATCCCTTGCAAAAGCTCCCAATAAAATGTCGTTTTCAAGAATGCCACATTTAGACGATCGGTAAATCAATTTCTTCAAAAGTTGATTTGAAGCCAGCATGAATTTTAATTTTTAATAAAATTATGAAGTCCAGCAAAAGCGTAAATGCCAACCTTTTATCTTTTTAGGTAGTATGCTTTTCATGTAGAAGCCGGGGGCACATGCTTGAAGAATGTAAAAACAATCCATCAGCCTCTAAGGGGAAATCTTTGAAAAAACATAATGCTGTTGTTTGCTATCGATGTGGCAGTACGGAACATTCTTTGAAATCATGCAACCAAGAAATTAAGGTCTCCCAATCGAATAGCTCTGGTAAGCCTACATAATTTTACTTTAAGAAAACTTGCCATTTGCTGAATGCTTTGTTTGTGGTGAAAAGGGACATCTTTCTGGAAAGTGTCCAAAAAACCCAAATGGCCTGTATCCAAATGGCGGCGGCTGTAGGTTCTGTGGCGATAACAGGCATTATGTCAAAGATTGTCCAAATAGAAAACCCATCAATAACAACGATGAATATGCGCCCGTTAATGACCAATTGCCTACAAATGCAGATGCTCCCCCTAAAAAGAAGAAGGTTGTGTTATTTAAATAAAGAATTTTGATTTATTTTGCAGCAAAGTTATTCCTGTGCAGATTCCTCCTCTTCGGCAGACTTGAGCCACTCGATTAAAGGAGCCGCATATGCTCTTAGAGCCTTGCTTTTTTCCTTGTCCCGAACAAATGTCTTTGACGGCTTTTCAGCCCATTCAAGGATTACTTCCTCTTCAACCACATCTTCATTGTAAAGCTTTTGCAAATAAATGGGAATCTTTCTTGGGATGCTATCTTGTGACGAATAAGCATGTAGTGTGCGTTCAATGCTGTTGAGGATGTTTTTTTGGCTCTTTTTATCACCGGCAATGTCTTTCCAAATTGGGATTTTGTTTGAAAATAGCTCCATGAATGCCTTGTCGTCTGAAATGTTTTCCAAAGCAACCTGGACAAGAACGGCGATCGAATAGTGGGGCTTGATTTCGAGCTCATCAATTTTCCGAAGAATTTCTTCTGAGGTTGCGTCTGGATTTTCAGAAACAAATACCCCTAAAAGCTCATAGGGATCCACTGTTATAGGTGATAAGAAACTTACAACTCACCTCGTTCAAGCTCGTCCTCATCATTTTCGTTAGTGCAGCCATTTTGATATAAATTTAGATTTGATTCAAAGGAATTGGCCAGCTGAGAATCGGCGTCTTCTTTTTCGGCGTTAGATGGCCCTGTTGATACTGCAGCATGTTGGCCTGCTTTGAAGGCCTTTAACGTTGGCACTGCCTTTTGGATAAAAGCAGCAATCTTGTGGCGATTGTCAACAAGCCTCTTTTCACCGCAAGCCTTACAAATGGAGTTGATCATAGAAGCATCGTCAAGGATAAGATCGGTTTCCGGATTGCTGCAATTGCCACAAAGAACGTATTTGGTGATAAATTGATAGAGAATTTCCTGCAGGCGGCTGGCCTCATGGGTTCCATTTACAATATAGCGATTTGACTTATCATCACAGATCACTTGCGCTCCAAGTTCAGATCCAAAAAATTTTGTGGGCCACGAGGCAGGGCGATTGAGAGCTCTGGCAATGTCCATCATATTTGGAATGACTGTTTTGATGCCATTTCCTTTGCCTTCGATCTAAAAATAAACAAATAGCGACAAACCTTTGATTGCACGGCAGGCATTTTGTAGCGGTAAAACTTGTCGTCGACATCTTTTCGAATGTTTAATGAAGACATACACGAAAGGAATTAAAATTGACACCCCATTTAAATTTAATAAAATTTAGGAAAATGAATGCCATCCCCAGAGAAGTTGTTTCCTATGTTGATGTGGACGTTTCCACCTCATCGGGTGAAATTGGGTGCAAAAAAAAGGATTCCAAAAAGAAAGCAAAAAAGCAAGAAAGAGCCGAAAAGGTAGACTGCAGCGATTCTGATGCTTTTGACGAGCCAGAAAGCTTTCAAACGGTCGCCCTTCCCGTCGCTGCTTTTTTGTCCAATCCAGAGTTGGGCCCTACATGTGGGGAGGAATATTTATTTGTGGTTAAGGAAGAACGCAAGTTACTTCCCCCAATCATTAGCATTGGGGATGCTGTTTCCTCGACATCAAATTTGCTTACCATGGAGTCGTTGATACAAATGGGGTTTTCGTTTTCCGCCACCGGCCCCGTTTGAAAATGGGTCGTGAATATTTAAATGGGCCGTTTGAAAAAGCCGCTTCACTAAGCCATGTTACCAAGCCATTTCATTAAACTACTTTATTGCTACATCTGAAGAGGTTATTTAGAGTTTGAATATGTAAATAAAACTATCGCCATTATAAGCCCGTAAAGACCCAAAATCTCGGCAAAAATAAGCAAAAAGACGAACATGATAAAGAGTTTTGGATTGTTAACAAATGCATATGCGCCGATGTTTCCGATATCTCCGATTACATAGCCTGCAGAAAGAGACCCAATGCCAACACAAAGACCTGCCGCGAAATGGAGGGAGGCGCTGTAGAATTCATACGTGCCATCTGAAGATATGCTTCCATTTATAAGAACGCCAATTACAAGGCCATAGATTCCTAAAATGCTGGCCATGATGACCGGCATTAGGGCTTTCATCATTTTATCTGGGTTTTGCGCGCAAGAAGAAACAATACCGACACCAGATTTGCAAATACCATAGCATGCCCCCAAAGCTAGAAATAAGCCAATGCCGAATACCTGAAAGGACCATGGCTATTGAGATACCGGCCAGCCCAAAAAAGGGGGAAACCCAAAGCCAAACATTTGTCATTAAATTAATTTAGAATTTTATTCCATTCAAATGGGTCCAAATTTTTACATTTTATTGATTAAAATTTGGCCTTTTAAGAAATGATTATATCTCACTGCAATACCGCTGCTCGGCTGTTGTCTATCAATGCAGAGAGCCACGCAAGCTCAGCTTTGCATGCCTTTAGATCTTTTTTAGAGGTTTCTGAGGGGGATAAACTTGTATTTTACCACGAACATCAAAAGACCACGGGTAACCCCTAATCATCTAACGTTTAGCGGATCAAGCCCTAAAATTGTAATACCCGTCGCTTATGCGTAGATCGTTCAAATTCGATGCTTGTGTTCATGAGAATCATAGCAGCTACAATTCGATTTCCGATTTTTGCGAGCATATTGGAATCCCAGCATTAGTTGAATGTCTTTTGCAGGGTATGCAGTACTTCGTCTCTCATATAAAGGGTACAACGTTGCACTGCTCTCGATGGCATTTGGCGATTCCAAAGAAATCGTCAAGTCCAGGTGCTGTAATGAAATTGGCTTATCGTAGAATGTCGTTGATTGTCGAGGCACTGCAAATATTGCGCCAAGTTTTACAAGGTGTCAGGGCAGATTTGTCGTTTGGGTATTTCCTCGCTTTTTTGATGGTAGATTTGTTTCCATCGTGTCAAACAATTATCTTGTTGATGTTTCTTGTGCCGAAAAGCTGTCGCTTTCAGATATTGTACATAGGGATGACTTGTCGATTTCCTCTGCATGTCTCGATGAGATGTTTGACCACATTTTCAAACATCAAGACTCGATGCTTTCATCAATAATTTGGATCAACGCTACGTTCAAATCTAACGATGGAAAGTGTCTTTCACCGACCTTCTTTTTGTCTGATTTGGGGGACTATTGCGGCTCGGTTTTGTCGGATTCACAATCTCATTTTTCTCACATCCGTAAATTGGCGTTATGATTTTTAGGGAAAATCGCCAATATTTTAGATAATCCCACCTCGTGCCTAGAGGTGCCATATTCGAAGCACATTGTTACAGAGTTTCTAAAGGAGGCATTTGGAGGCCATTGCCAAACGTGCATCGTTGCTCATCTGCAGAACGACAATTCTTCCATTGAGGATAAAAGCACGTTTTTAGACGGACTTGGGCTTCTTGAAATGGTCAGGAGCATTCGGACTTTTCCAATCCATATGGAGGTTTCGCCCTTTGATGTTGATGACCAGCAAAAAAAACTTTTGCAATTGAAGTCAGAATATGAGGTTTTTCTGCACAATAATCCTAGTTGCTTTATGAAGAAACAAATACAAATATGGGTCAAATGAAGATGCTTCTTGCAAGCTGTTACAAGCAAAATGAAATTTCGATTGCCCTTCTGGAAAAGGTAGGTGATGATTGTGATGTTTATTCGCAGAAAGCAAGCTCTGCACTGATTTCAAAGGACTTGAATGGCATTTTAGAGGCCACCATTGATGTCAATAGGATCGGATATGCAATTGAAAGGCAAGACAAGGAGTTTGAGACCCATGCAGCGTACGTTAAATATTTTGATGCATTTCAAAAGATTTTGACCCAATCGGTACAAAATTTTCAGCAATCGTGTGCCATGCAGCTGCAAAGCGAGACCAATGTCAAGTTGAAGGATCGCATTTGCACCATTCAGTCTGAAAAGCAAAAACAGATCTCCGATCTTGAGTCTCTAGCAACGAGAAAGGCAGAAGAATCTTGTACATTAAGATCCGAAATACTGCAACTTAAGGATGAGATAAAAACATTAACAGCCTCCTTCAACGGCCAGCTTGCGCGGCTAAAAGAAGAGCATGGAAGGGAGCTGGAATCCTCTGCCTCTGCTCTTAAAGTCCAGCTTTTAGAGCGGGAAAAGCTCTCGACGGAGAGTTTGATCGCAAACTACTTTTCTAGAGAAAAAGAATTGAGCTCCAAATATGAAAAGACTGTTGAGAATCTTTCATGCCAATTATCTCTCGTTTGTACGTCCAAGGATGAAGCTACCAACAAATACGAGGCAATCGAAAAATCACTTCGAGATTACGAGATCAAAAACGTAAAATTGGAGGCAGAGATTGAAAAGCTAAAATCCGAAAATCAGCGTTTGCTCCAGGCATCTTTGCAGGTAAAAGAAACGATCCCCAACCTCAAAAAAGGTTGTCTTCAACAAGAACCATCAAAAATACCTGAACTGCACCAATCTCGGCCTTTAGAACACTTGGTTGGGCAATCGCATGAAGCTCAAGATAAAGATACCTCTACGCATCTGAAAAGACCGCCACAATTAATATTTTCTTCATCAGAAGAAGAGGAAGACCCTGATAAGGTCGCCTTATTTGCACAAAACAAAAGTCCTCAAATTAGAAAGGGTCACAAGGTTTCCAGATGCCGCTTATACTCGCCAAAGAAGACCATACAGAGGCAAAGGAAAAGTGTAAAAATTGCATCTCCAAATGAAACCGACCCCACACCCCCAAGAGTTTCCATACCAGCTCAACATATTCTGGGGCCTCCTGATTCCAATATCCAAAAGAAGCAACAGAATTCTCCAACGAAAAAGCATAAAAATTCTGGCCAGGATACAGATCAAAAAATGGAACAAACAAACGAACAGGCTGGCGAAGCACGGGGCCAAACAAACAAACAGGCTGGCGAAGCACGGGGCCAAACAAAGGTCCAATCCAAATTACCCATCCCAGATCCTCTGGATGTTCCTTTGAAGAATACTAGCATCGCTGATAAAAGAAAAGCTCAACGGGCTGCCACGAACCCCACTTCTATCAGTTCAACTAACGAACCGTGTTCTTCCCTATTGAAAAAGTCAACCTTCAGGCCGTTGGGACCCAAATTGGCATCTTCAATCCTATCTGAAGAGAATAGTTCATTTTTGTCAAACCTTTCCCTGTCTTCAGCTAGTTCGGAAGACTCCTTCTCGTTCAGTCGGCAAAAGCATCCGGCTGCTCTTTCAATTGCCCCAAAGGTTCGTTCCATTTGCTTAACGCTTTAGTCTTCAATTTTGCGAACAGACCCAAGCTCCATCAGCGATGCAATCAAATCTGCATTCGCCATCCGCCAGCCCAAGTTATAACAACTTGTGATTGTACACTATGGTTTCATTATCAATTTTGAACTTTTCATTAAATTTTTGAGCTTTCTTAACTTTATGTTAATTCAGGACAGGGCAAACCAATCCATCAACATCAATGAAAGCGACAACGACAGCACGGTGCTCACCATGCTCAATTTGAATAGACTGTCAAATTGCACTATCGAGATTTCCCTGCAAACTACGCCTCTTTGTATTTGTGTGGATGCAATGACGAAATGCAGGGTAATATTTAAACATCCCGTTCTTCTTAATCAATTTCGAATACATAGCTGCTCGGATTCGGTCTTTGAGATAAATTCAGATAAAGCTGGATCAATCATATTGGAGAACTGCAATCGCTTGAGGTTTTATTCACACCATGCCGAAAAAATATCCATTTTTGATTTTTCAGATCCACTTGGTTTGTGCAGAAATTACGAATTATTTGGCTTTGCCAATTTATTTTTGGAAAATAAAATTTAGCTATTTAATTCACAGACTCGGCATTTCGCGAATCAGAGATGAGTATTTTGCATTTTATTTTTTCAAATACAATGGTCTCACCTCTTTCAGTTTCGCCGGATACCCCAACATATATAGCGTTTATCTTGAACTTTACCATCGGGTTTTGCAATTACATTCGATTTTCTGCAGTCAATCTGATTGGCAGTGAGCTAGAGAATATATCTGACTGGCTCCTTCGGATCTTCCAATTGACCGATAATTCGCCTCAATATGTCATAAATGTATGCCAGGTGTTCTATCTTTTGTGTGCGCTGGTAAAGTGTGTTCAAAATTCTTGGTCAAACCACAAGTCTACCCTCGACTCTCTGGAGAACTCTAGGCATCACGGAATATCAGCCATCGTTCCAAGAGTATTAAAAAATCATCAAGCTCAAAAGAAGCCGTTTACGCCTTACGATAAACTCGTTCATACTTTAAGGCTAGTTTTTGGAATTGCTTTTGCACTCGCATTACAAACCGGCATTCCTTCTGTGATCCTCGAAGCATACTCTGCGAACCCGATCGATGCCTTTGCAGACGAGGATTTGTACTTTGAAAGGTTTTTCTCGATCTCTAAATATTCGGCATTCTTGCTAGCCAACACGGCAAGCTCTATTTTTTGGCTTTGGGCATCGTGTTTATATGTATGTCCGGATGTTCCGTTTAAAATTGTGGTTGTCCCCGTTGTTTATATGATTAAGGTCATCTTATTCTTTGTCGTTAGAAGGATATTCCGCAATTGTTGGAACCCAGATGCCTCCAATGTGGGAAGTTATGTCCAGCTCTACTTGTCTCCATATACAGCTTACCCCTGCATTTTGTTCTCTTTTGGAATGCTGGTGTTGATTGCCGGTGTGATTGGCACTCCAGATCCTGCTATAACGGGCCGAATCAAGATCCCTTCTATTTTTCTATTTATTGTTTTGTCGAGCCTTAGCGGGATATTAATTTCCAACATCAACTTCCTGCCTAAAATGCTTTTCGAACTTTTAAGATCCGATATTTCAAGCTCAGGTTCGTATGTGCTTGCCTTGCATTTCTTTCCGTTTAATTACAACGGAAACCTGTCATCATTCGCATTTTGCATGCTTACTTTCCTAATGTTCATGGAAACCGGTGCTCGCAGTGCCTCTTCGTCTTTCAAAACCCCTGTAAACTCGTGGGGTGAGGCTTTTCAAGAAATTTACAAGTATCTGATGTGCGTCTCTTCTGTCATTTCCAGTGTGGAACGCTATCCTATCTCCGTGATTGCAGCTGCATTTTACCTGATTAAGCCCTTTAAAATTACGCTCCCATCGGTTAATAGCGAGTAACCCCGAGCTTTGCAATAAAAAATCCATGTTATTGATTCGAGCTGTGTCGCTTACTTAAATTAAACCCTAACTCTAACCCTAACCAAATCTTTAAAAGCCATCCCAATAGAGTCATTAAATGTTACAACACATAGTTTGCTCGCTCGCTGCTACCTTCCACGTCATTTGTTGGTGTATGCCGTCTATGTTGCGCCCACATATTCAATTAGGCATATTTTATTTCATCATCAATATCGGAATCAGAGCCAATAGAGGCCTTCAACAGTTGAAATTCCGCCTCTACATTAGATAATAGACCGCTAATTTGATACTCGTCGTAATACTGATCGATTTTATCAATTGGCAATCGAAGCAGGTCAAAGATGGCGTAAACTGCTGTCAATTTCCTGTCCTTGGCAAACGAATACGATGTTGCTACTGAGGGAGGAGAGGCAACCGGATAGCGCTGTGAGAAATGCGTCAATATTAAATAGCGTATCAAATTA